GTCTTAGTATGAAAAAAGTTTTGAGCTCAAGGGCCCCCTGAAAGGGTCTCAAGGACCCTAGACCACATTTTGAGAACTACTGGGCTAGGTCTTCTCTAAAGGCCCTTGTTAGCTCCAAATCTGTGAACCTGTGGTCCCAGTGCCTATATTTACTACCGAGTGACTTTGAGTGCGTTAATTAGCCCACCTGGGCCTCACTTCCTCCTTTTTGAAATGAAGAGGTTGAACTCGATTAAGGTTCTTACCCTGGGGTCGGTTCAAGAATATTTTGGTAAACTGTATTTCAGTATAATTGGTATGTATGCACACATTATATAGGTATAGGTATGTATGCCTCAGTAGATAATATTATTATTATATTATTGTTACTTGTAATCCCACGTAGTTTATTTTGTGCAGTTACACACCAGATTCTGAGAAGGGCGCCGCAGGCCTTCCCAGTCTCAGTGGCCTAAGGGGGCCAGGACACAAAACAGGTTAAGAACCCCTAGACCAGATGATCGACAAGACCTTGTACTTATAGCTCTTTGGGACTTACAACCTACGATGTTAGATCTGGGAAGGGACTTTGGAGACCCTTTCACTCACCTCTCCTCATTTTATATTTGAGAAAACTGAGGCCTGTGGAGGTGAAGTGACTTGTCCAGTGTAAGGCAGTAAGCATCACGGGCAAGATTTGAACCCGGGTCCTGTGGCTTCAGAGTCAACAGTTTCTGCACCTCTCTCCCTCCCCCCACAATTACAACGTAAGTTCCTATTTCACTTTTTTATTCCCAGTGCCTGGCCCAGTACGTTGCACGTAGCAGGTGCGCTGTAAGAACTGAATTAATTGAATTGAATTGAAGCTCAATGCCCTGCCTATGGCACTGGATTAGTAAGTAATGAAGGATCTAAAGCTAAGTGGATCTCGGAAGCCACTGAGGGGAAAGGGAAGGGAGGGGAACAGTCTGTTCTTCGAAGTAAGGTGAAGAAGAGTGAAGATCAGGGGGCGGCTAGGTGGCGCAATGGATAGAGCACCGGCCATGGATTCAGGAGGACCTGAGTTCAAATCCGGCCTCAGACACATAACATTTACTAGCTGTGTGACCCTGGCCAAGTCACTTAATCCCATTGCCTAGCCAAAAAAAAAAGGAAAAAAAAGAAGAGTGAAGATGAAGGCCTGGTGGGTCCAATGGTTTCCCTGCCACAGTACTCTGTGTGTGTGTGTGTGTGTGTGTGTGTGTGTGTGTGTGTGTGTGTGTGTACATGCACACGAGGCCTTCTGTGCTGTACCCAGTGGGTAGTTGAGGGAGGTTTCCAGAGTTAGATTTCTGCAGATATAGATAAGTTTGTGATCTCTTGCTTCTGGAAAGGATGCGAGCCAAGGCCGTGTGATAAGGCAGCTGGAGGCTGGGGAGGGGAAGTGGTCAGCTGTGGCCTGGCCAGCCTGTCAGGGATGTTTCCACTGTGGCTTGTAGCCACAATAACGTATGTGAGGATTTCACTTTCGATAAAGTTGCTCAAATTCTCTTCCAAAGTTGGTACAAAGCCGTGTAACTGAGGAGAAGGGGCCCATGGATGGCCATCACTTTGGCCTTTGGTTGGAAGGGCAGGGCCAGCTCCACCAAAGCACAGATTTCCCCTCTTCCCTGTCTCTTTTGGTCCTGGGCTCCACAGAAGCCCTGCTGCCTGCCTTGAAGTCATTCTGGGGTAGGTGGGGAGGCCCTTCACTGACCCTCCTAGCCTCTAAGCGGCTGGGTGCCTGTGCGTGGTTTCTGTTTGGAATCCAACACTAGCCCGGGGCCTGCTTTTCTGGGGTCTCCTCCAAATCTGGCAGAGGCTGTGGCTGGGGCAGAAGGGTCTTCAAGCCTCTTCCTGAGTCATTTATTTTGATTTCAATTACTCTAAGGAGGAGGAGAACCACTGAGGGATTATAGTTCATAGTCACAGTTGGGAGGGAACATAGAACGTAGATTGTCAGAGCTGGAAGGGACCTTAGAACATAGAATGTTAGAGTTGGGAAGGACCATGGAACTCATAAGCTTTTTTTTTTCCTTATGTTTTGGTATGTAAACCTAGTATGTACAGGGCTGCGGGCCTGGTCTGTATTTAGTCAGCAGACTGTGAGCTAGCTCCTTAAGGGCAGGGACTGTCTTTCGTCTCTTTTTGTAGCTCCAGGGCCTGGCACGTAGTAGGCATTTAATAAATATTGGGAGTGGGGGGCAGCTATGTGGTACAGTAGATAGAGCACTGGGTCTGGAGACAGGAGGATTCACCTTCCAGAGTTAAAATCTGGCTTCAGGCACTTACCACCTCTGTGACCCTAGGCAAGTCACTTAACCCTGTTTGCCTCAATTTCTCATCTGTAAAATGGGCTGGAGAAGAAAATGGCAAACTACTAGAGAAGGAAATGGTAAACTACTCCAGTATCTTTGCCAAGAAAACCCGAAATGGGATCCCAAAGGGTCAGACATGACTGAAATGACTGAAAAACAACAACAATAAATGTTGATCGACTGAATATGTGTTGGCAAATTCTTATGAAGCTGACTTGGCTCCTTCTCTATGTGAAGAGGGACAGATCCCTCCCTCCTTTGGAAATGAAGGTTTCTGCCATTTTTTTGAGCCATGCTGAATCTCTCTCTTAAGGGGAAGAGAAAGGAACCAGCATTTATCTAGCTCCTAATGTGTACCAGACACTTTGCTAAATGCTTCATAAGTATTATCTCATTAGATCCTCACAACAGCCCCATGAGATAGGTGCTCTTATCATCCCCATTTTATAGATGAGGAAACTGAGTCAGATAGCGTTTAAGTGACTTAACCAGGGTCACACAACTAGTAAGTGTCTGAACTCGTTTTCCTACTCCAGGGCCAGCTCTGAAGAGAACTTGTAGAAGAACAACTCTTCCTTACACCACCCTGTGAGTTAAGAAGTATAGATGTTATCATCTCCATTTTGCAGATTATGAACCTGAGGTTCAGAGAAAGTAAATAATTTCCCCCAGTGTGACATCCAGCTAGAATAGAACGAGGCTGACAATTTGATGATGTTTGTTAGTTTGTTTCTTTCTCTCTCTTCTCTCTCTCTCTCTCTCTCTCTCTCTCTCTCTCTCTTTCTCTCTTTCTCTCTCTCTCTTTCTTCTTTCTCTCTCTCCTCTTTTCTTCTTTCTCTTTCTCTCTCTCTCTCTTCCTCTCTCTCTCCTCTTCTTTTTTCTCTCTCCTCTCTCTCTCTCTCTCTCTCTTCTCTCTCTCTCTTTCTCTCTCTTTCTCTCTTTCTCTCTCTCTCTCTCTCTCTCTCTCTCTCTCTCTCTCTCTCTCTCTCTCTCTCTCTCTCTTTCTTCTGATGATGCTACTTTCATAAGGAACTGGTTTCCTATGAATCCTGTCTTTGGGCCTACCTAGGCCTACCCATATCTTCATCTCTGTGGGAAGTGGTCAGGTTTAAGCACTATCTGGTAGTAGATGGACAACTTAGGCCTTGATTTCCTGATTGTCTTTGATTGAGGGGCTGAAAGAACTGCCCCAAGGGAATTCTCTGGGTTTTAGAGAAGGTCTTAGAGCAACTGAAGGAAACTCGGAGAATCCACCCCAAAGGTTCACACAGACTATTTGTGCCCAGCCTGTGTTAGACCAGTGCAAGCTCATATTGGTCTGATCAGCCACAGTCAGACACACTAAAACTTGACTCTAGCATAGTGATGTCATTTTGGTCCTCTTTGAAAAGGAAGGACAGTCGCAACCTCCATCACAGAGTGGGAGGAATGGAAGCACATTCTTTGTTCATCAGAACAGGAGTCCTTCAGTCTAGGACACCTTGGGCTTGTAAATTATTGGGTAAAAGGCAGAAATAAGAAGGTGGTCTCCTTGAAGTCAGCTTTTGTGGAGGAGAGTAGACTCAAGGGAGCCATCATAGCCAGCTTTAAGTATTTGAAAGGTTTTTATGTGGAAGAGGGATTGGACATATTCTGTTTGGCCCCAGAAGATAGAACTAGGTGCGATGCATAGAAGTTACGGAGAGGCAGATTTCAGTTAAATATAGGATTCTAGGGTCTAGAGCAGGGAGAGGCCTCAGAGATCATCTAATCCTGGCCTCCCCTTTGCCATTTTAGAGATGAAAATGTTAAATTATAGAAATGTTTAGTGGCTTGCCAAGGTCACACAGGTAGTAAGTACAGAGCTGAGATCTGAACCTGGATCTTCTGACTCCCTAGTCCGTCTGCCAAGGGTTTCCTTGGAAGGTGGTGAAGTTTCCCATCACTGCAAGTTTTTTTCAACTAGAGGATGAAAGACCTCTTGTTAGGGTTGGTATACAGGGGATACCTGTTCAGGAATGGGCTGGGCAAGATGATGTCTCAGATTCCTTCTAATTCTGTGATTTTGTTATTTGATTGGTAGCTCAATGTGTGTGTGTGTGTGTGTGTGTGTGTGTGTGTGTGTGTGTGTGCGCGCATGCGCAGGGAGATGGGGGTAGTACAAAGTAATTCCATTCCCAGACAGAGAGTCTGTAGGGAATATATGATCAGTTGCCTACACTCAGGATGGCATTAGTAAATCAACAAGCATTTATTAAGTACCTACTGTGTGCTACACATTGGACTACGTGCTCTGACACAAATATAAAGAATGAAGCAATCCTTTTTCCTCTAGGAGCTTAAATTCTTACAGCGGAAAGAGAACACATATTGATAAGCACATGCAGAATAAATATAAAGTGGCTTTGAAATACTTCTTGGGGGTAGGTTCATTCTTTGTGACTTTCTGCATAGGAAGTGGATGAGATTAGCAGAGCTGAAATCTTCTGAGGTTGTAGGGAGAATTTCCTTTCTTTCTGCTGTAAATATGGAAATTCCTGCAGGGAACAATACAGTCTCGTTTCCTCTGCCTCATGCTGTCTCTGAACATGGGGATGTCTGTATCTTCATATAGACAACTGGTAGCCATGGGGTGGAGAAGGTGCTGCTTGGAGCTGGACTGATGGACCCATGGTTTCTCATGCTGTACCTTATTCTCTCTTGTAGAAGCAGTTAACAGAAGATGATGCTGACGATGAGGTGGAGATCGCCATTGACAATACGGCCTTCATGGATGAATTCTTCTCAGAGGTAGGCAGTCAGACTGGTAGAGAAGATTCTGGGTCAAGTCATTTCTCTCAGACCTTATCTGTGAAGTGGTAGTGGTGGTGATGGTAATCCTTTGGCCATAGCTATCTTCCTGGGTTAGTAGAGGGAAAATGCTTTGAGAGCTATAGAAATGTGAACTGGTAAGAGATCATCCCTTCTTTCAGAACCTCTGTTGGCAAATGTTTCTGTAATTTTTTCATGAGAGACTTCTTATTCTGAAGCACAGAGAGAGGATGCTTTATTCCTGTTCTGAGGTGGCTGGCTTAGCTTTCCCTCCTTGGGCTCACAAGTGTGCATGTGAGGAGTTTTCCTTCCCTGCTATTGCTTGGGTAGAACTGGGTCTGTTACTGATCCTGCTGGTTAGTGGCAGTAGGGAAGAGTTTTAGAGGTAAATCCAACCGTGTGTGGGCTGATGAGGGAAGTTGAGTAGGACGGCTTCAGGCATTCCTTCCTTTGCCTTGGTCAGAGCAGCTCTGTCTGGCTGAAGCATCTCAGTAAGAAAACTGCCTAGAGGGAGAGACCTAGTAAGGACTGGAAAAAGCCAGCTTGCCTTCTCTGAAATTGTTGCTATCTTGTCATCTATCGTCTTGTCCATAGACAAGCCATCATACTCACGCACTGCACTGGCTGCAGGCTCCCCACCCCTGTGCAGAATGGAAGAAGCATTTAGCCAAGAACGAGAGAAATGACTCACTACTGATGGGGAGAGGAATTGAGAAGGTGCCTCTGGGAGAAATCTGAGGTCTGTTAATTTAGCCGGCATTTCTGTGTGAAGATACAGAGTTCAAAACTGAAGCAGCCCTTGCCTTCAAGAAGCTTACATTCTAGCTTGTATCCTAGCATCTTTTTACTGCTGTGGCTTAGAGAACAGAACGTGCTAAAGAACATGCTAACATTGCCCATTTTGCCCTGGTGAGTCTGTTCTTATCTCTTGTCTTAAGCCATCTCATTATCAGCCATCTTTCTGGGTTTTGTTTTTTTTTTGCAACATCAGCCTCTATCTCCTGATAAGCATGAGTACGGAGCCATTTCTGTTCAATATCCCAGAGAAACACACTGTTGCAAGAAAAATTAACTCTCCTCTGCACCCTGCACTGGACTTTCTCTTGTGAGAGTAGCTAGGCAGCTCAGAGGATAGAATGCCAGGCATGGTGTTGGGAAGATCTGAGTTAAAATCCAGCCTTAAGACACTTAGCTGCTGTCTGTTCCTGGGTAAGTTCCTTAGTCTCTGTTTGCCTCGGTTTCCTCATTTGGAGGATAGTAAAATGGGGGTAATAATAGCACCAATCCCACAAGGTTGTTGTGAGGATCAAATAAGATAATAATTGTAAAGTACCTAGCATGGTAACTAGCATGTGGTAGGTGCTATATAAATGTTAGCTATTATTGTTATTATTTATTAATATTGCTTCGTGAGCATTCATGGGTATAGGTATTAAAATAAAGAGCCACTCCTTGGGCTCCAGAGCTCCAAGATTTCCCGTGCCACTTATATTTTTTTAAAAAAATTTCTTTTTAAAATTATGAACTTCACCAACATTAACAAGTGTTTCAATATATAAAGAACGGAAAAAGAGGATTGCTTATGAAACTGTGAAAAGGTTTCAGTCTGCTGGAGGGATCCCCTGAATTGATGAGATCACAGATCGATTGGGAACTGCAAGTTAGGTATAGCTTGTTTTTTAAAAGAACATTTTTTTTGTGTCCCTGCTTATTGGTGTCCCCTTCAAAACTTCCTTCTCCTCTCTTCTCTGTAGTTTAAAAATGTTTCATTGATAACTTTTCTTCTTTTTTTGTGCATCATTATCACTCTTCTTCCTTCCCCACAACTGTTCTTCCTTGAATAAAAGCCCTCTGGGGCCTGTATAGCCTCACTTGCTCATTGCTGGGTTTTGCTGGCTCCGAGTGAATAGTAAATAGCGATTGCTTCTGTTCTAGCCAGAAACTCTGAGGGTCTTTCTTCTCCCCCAACCCCCCACTGGTTGTTTTGTGAAGGCAAACGAGGCCATCTTTTACCTCAATTCTTACCTAGCCTTTAACTACTGAATTGGCTTTGCCTCAGACAAACTGAGACCTGGCCAGGGTCTCCCACTGCATCCTGTGCTGTCACCAGTTGTCCTGACCTAGGTCTTGCCACTGGACTCCTTGACCCTGGAAGAGAGAGCTCAGCCTCACTTTGATCCAATTCACTTGCAAGTCAAGTCATGGCCCTCCTGATGTCATTGGTCCTCTTGGAGTATGAAGGACAAACAACAATGACCATGATAAAGACAACAATCTCTTATAAACTGACATTTCTGTGGCACCTTAAAGGGGCTCTTCTAGCAGCAAACTGAGACTCCAGGGCTGTATCTGTTTCTCTTCCTTAGCGTTTCTACGTCTGCAGCCCACATCTGACCTTGTTCTTGGTGAACTACTTCTTCCCATTCTGTACCAGGGGTGGGGACCCTGCAGCCTGAAGGCCACAGCTAATCCGGGTGCGTGAGTGTGAGGGCTTCTCCATGGATAGATCTGCCTGAGGGAATACAATGAACTTGTCCTTTATCTTCTCTGCTTGTGGACTAGAAATCTCCGAGATTAAGGGGGTCAAGCACATTCCAGAGAAGGTTGTATAATTCTGGGAAATGAGGTGTGAAGGTCCCCCTTTGATGTGCTCCATGGGCTATAGTCCTGCAGATTCCCCCGGATTCGCTTGTCCCTGCAGGTGCTCCTGAGATAAACCTTGTTTTCTGGACGGGCTCCAATCAGTCACCCAAGATTGTTTGTTCAGGGATTGATTTGATTACTGCTCTGGGTGGAGGGGAATTCATGCCTGGGCTTTGTCCTGTTAGGGTGGTGGTGGGAGAAGCTATGGATCATGGCTACTCTAAGTCTTCCCAAGCTAATAAAAACACAGATATTGTCCTCAGGCAACTGCATTCATTGAGACATCTACAAGAATTAAAAAAAATAATTTCTTTGTACATTTGAGGTACAAAAAAGCCTTTATTAGTTAAGTGATTTTCAGACAGCTTATGAAAGCCAAGCATCCTGAAATTAATATAACTTAGAAGGGGCAGCTAGGGGGCGCAGATAGGCCCTGGAGTCAGGAGGATCTGAGTTCAAAGGCAGCCTTAGACACATGATACTCACTCGCTGTGTGACTTTGGGCAAGTCACTTAACTCCTGTTGCCTCACCCCCCCCAAATACATATCTATATTTATATCTATATACCTATATATCTATATCTATATCTATATCTATATCTATATCTATATCTATATCTATATCTATATCTATATCTATATCTATATCTATATCTATATCTATATCTATATCTATATCTATCTATATCTATATCTATATCTATATCTATATCTATCTTAGAAGTCCAGCTATTGAATTAAATCCAGTGCAAAGTAATGGAAAGATGAAGACTCAGGAGTCGGTTTTATAATGAAAAGATGATAGCTCTGAAACGAGAGAACCTGGATTCACTTTCTGCCCCTGAGGCTTAACCTGTAAGAACTTTGGGCAGGTCACTTAATTTTATTATTTTTTTAAGGCAGTCAGGGTTAAGTGCCTTGCCCAGGGTCACACAGCTAGTAAGTGTCAAGTGTTTGGTCAGAGGCCGGATTTGAACTCAGGTCCTCCTGACTTCAGGGTTTGTGCTCTATCCACTGCACCACCCAGCTGCCCCCAGGTCCCTTAATTTCCCTGGGCCTCAGTTTCCTTATCTGTCAGATGAGGTGGTGGGCCCAGATGGCCTTTGAAGTCGATTCCAGCTCGAGATGTTGGCTCCCAGGGTCTTGCCCTTGTCATGGTTCTCCTTTCTAGCTGGTCCTCACAAATCCATTCACATCTGATCCCTAGACTCTTCATCTGTAAAGAGAAAAAATTCTACTCTTACTACCCCCTTTACTTACTGGTGCTAAAAAAAATTAATTTGTAAATCTTAAAGCTTTGTAAGCTCGGTGAAATATAGAGATGCAGGGAGGCGGGGGCTTTTATTGGGCAAGAATGAAAGAATTGAAGTAATTGCGTTCTTTGGATGGAATGATTAAGAAATTCCAAGAAACCTGGCTGAAGTTCCAAGAAACCTGGCCGAGCGATGTGTCTTTGCCAGTCACGTCTGGTGTAGTGCCAGTGCCAGTGCCAGGAAGTCTAATGCTCCTTTTGACATGGATCCCTTCTTGGAAGCAAGCTAGAGGAGTGGAAGAGACAGCATCTGAACTCTGTGGCCGTGCCTGAGGGTCCAGGAAGAAGAGCATGTTTGGGCTTGGCCAGCTCAGGCCACGTAAGGCAACCCTTCCATTTTATAGATGAGGAAATTGAGACCCAGAATAGTGGCATAGTTTTTCCTAGGAGCAAAGGGTAGAAGTTGGGAAAAAGGCATATTTATACTTGATATGAGGAAAAATTCCCAATAATTAGTCAGTAAGCATTTATCAAGTGTTCCCCGTATTCCAGGCAGGGTGCTAACAGCGGAGATACGAAGTGGAGTGGCTTGCCCCAGGACGGTTGTCTTCACCGGAGGTCTTCAAGCGCGGGCTGCACTGCCACTTGTTGGGGGTGTGGGAGAGTGAGTTTTGGGCTCTGTTTGTGTTGGACGAGATTCTCTTTTCCGCCTCAGAGAGTCTGCGACTCTGTGACTTGCCTGTTTGTTGTCCAGTGTCACACAGTGAAGCTGAGGGTTTTCTCCCCTTCTCCAGACACAGAGTGGAAACGCCAGCACTGAACACGGGGCCTTGCACGTGCTTGGATACATCAGTGACTGAAAAAGCATTTCTGAAGGGCTTTCTTTGCGCCAGGCAGGCTGCTAAGCTCTGAGGACACAAACACAAACAAGGAAGACAGCTCCTGCCCTCGAGTAGCTTACCTTCTAATGGGGAAGGCAGCACACGGCGGTGAGCGGTGGCCAGGGAGGGGAGTTGTGGATGGGAAGTCTGAGTGAATGTTGAAGGGCAGGCCTGATTTGCTTGCTGTTGTCTGAGCTAGAGTT